TAAAAAATGTCAGTGGGTATTTTCCTAGAATGCCACAGTTTGACATAGCCCAGGAAATTCTTGGAAAATAAAATGGCATCTGAATAGAGACATAGCCACTAAAACTGACTCACGTAAGAGGTTGCCAAAAATAAAGAAAAAGAAAGCCAGCATACAGTAAATGAATTAGCAAAACCGGTGATTTTAAATCAAATGAATGTAATTGAAACAATTGTAAAATTGATCCTGTTATTTTTATGGAAGGGGTCCTCCCTGTCGTTTTACACTGGGTGAAATGAGTAGGCAAACCAAAGCGGTCTTTGAATGTATGAATCAGCTAATATGGGAGGTTGAGAAAGATTTGAACTGGGTGGAAGGAGGAGGAGAAGGTGCTGGGCCTCTGGGCTCTCCAAATATATCTGGAGACATTACTACTAGAATCTTTCTTTGCATCCGCATCAGTTCCTTTTTACTTTATTTTTCATCTCTCTATAAAGACTCCTATTTGTAATGGTTTTTTGCAACTTTTGGGCCTGACCCTGAATTTGAACAGCAATAAATATGTCGGTTCTGACCAGAGGTGGAATTCAGCAGGTTCTGACCAGTTCTAAAGAACCGGTAGCAGAAATTTTGTGTAGTTCAGAGAACTGGCAAATACCACCTCTGACTGGCCCTGCCCTATTCTCTGATCGGCTGGGTCTTCTTTTGTTGCCCTGCACAGGAGAACAGAGCTGGAAAGCAGGTTAGTGGGGTGGGGAGGGAATGGGGATTTTGCTGTAACCTTCCCCTGCCATGCCCACCAAGCCCCGCCCACCACGCCACACCAAGCCCACCACCCATAGAACCAGTAGTAAAAAAATTTGAATCCCACCACAGGTTCTGACCTAATATTGTACAACAGGGAAGTATCAAATGGGCAGGTCGCTCTCTTTGGCTTAATTATTTCTTGCTTCCGATGGCATCAGGAAATGAAAATACTTCAACTCCAGTTTTTGCTAAGCTCTTAAGTTCATTATCATCTTCTAAAGTTCATTATCTTCTTCTTTACCCTTCCTTAACTTAACTTCTGCCAGCTAACTTCTGTGTGGGGACTGCTATACAGGTAGTCCTCAACTTATGACCACAACTGAGCCTAAAATTCATGTTGTTAAGTGAGACATTTGTTAAGTGAGTTTTGCCCCATCTTACGACCTTTCTAGCCATAGTAACTCATGGCAGTTATTAAGCTAGTAACACGGTTGTTAAGTGAATCTGGCTTGTCAGAAGGTCTCAAAATGACCCAAGGACATGGCAACCGTCATAAATACGAACCAGTTGCCAAGCACCTGAATTTTGATCACCTGACCATGGGGATCAGCAATGGTCGTAAGTGTGAAAAATGGTCATCAGTCACTTTTTTCAGGGCTGTTGTAACTTTGAACGGTCACTAAATGAACTGTTATAAGTCGAGGACTACCTGTACTGTCTGGACGTGGAGCAGAACAAAGTATAAATATGATAAATAACGAAGTCCCATTAGAAACGAGACCTACTACAAGAGTACAGAAGCCTTATGGGAGTTTTCTACTGTTGATATAGCTAGCAGATGCAGACAACCAATTCATCATCTCCAATTACAAAGGGACACAGATTCCCTTAAATCATACAGCAACAACTAATATTACAAGTTTTGGCAGTGCTATCTGTTGCCAAATTACTTTTCCTATATTGTTTTTCTTTCCTTACTACAGGGAGTAATCGGAGAAGCGTAAATACCAGGAAGTGGCGGTTTTAATCACAAACCAAACAAATGCAATAGTTTTAGCATACCCTGTTTCGCCTTAGGAAAACCCTGCCTTCCTCCACAGTTTTCCCTTTAGGAATTACAGAATGCCTTGTGGTTTGCTTGCCTTGCTTCCTTACTTCCCTAAAACACCCCCTTGGCCTTCCACACTGAGGTGGGGTTTCGGAAGTCAAGGCCTGCAAATTCCTCAAAGCCTTAAAACTAACATTGTTCTTCCCCTCCCTGAGTGTTCTTTTGATTTGAGTTGATGCAGGTAGGAAATAAGAGAGACAAGCTGTGGAAAAACAGAAATGGGAATACAGGGTTATTTAACCCTTTCAGTTCTGCTGGCTCCATCTCAATCATCTTGGCTTTTTACCAAATGAAATGAGTTGATGTGAAAATACAGTAAGTGCAGGCAATCTCCGAAAGAGAAATAAGGCATCAAAAAACAGGAGCAAAGATGAGATGGACCCAGAGGTGGAATTCAGCAGGTTCTGACCAGTTCTGGAGAACCGGTAGCGGAAATTTTGAGTAGTTCGGAGAACCAGCAAATACCACCTCTGACTGGACCTGTCCCCATCTATTCTCTGCCTCCTGAGTCCCAGCTGATTGGCTGGGTCTTCTTTTGTTGCCCTGCACAGGAGAACGGAGCTGGAAAGCAGGTTAGTGGGGTGGGGAGGGAATGGAGATTTTACAGTATCCTTCCCCTGCCATGCCCACCAAGGCATGCTCACAGAACCGTTAGTAAATTTTTTTGAATCCCACCACTGGATGGAGGTCAAAACAGGCAAGATGGTGGACACCATGGATGTCATATTGTTTGCTTTGCCTCCTGCGGATACCATTGATTTGTAAGAGGGGATTCCCAAGTGCAAAAAAATAAAAACACCAAATTCTTGACCAGCAAGTTTTCTTATACAAACTCCTTTCTCCAACTTTGCCACAGTAAAGACAAATCTGGCTATTTCCAGATAGTTTCTCTTTTTCCTTTAGTACAAGGGTCCCTCATCCCCAGTCTGGCACTGGGGCCACGGCATGCCAGAAGCTGGGCCGTGCAAACAAGTGAAGCCCCATCAGCGGGATGCAGGTAGCACACAAAACCACACCCCCTCCGGTCCCCAGAAAAACCAATCTCCACGGAACCAGTTCCTTATAACAGAAAATACCAGCCTTCATTAGTTTTTGACTGAGCAGCCAAAGAATTCCTTCTTTTTCCTTCCAATTAAAGTTCTGTTATGGCTCCACAGGCAAAGGTCAATTCAATCAGTTTTTGAGCGTTCCCAGAAGTGAAGGAATGAAATGGCCCTCAACTAAAGGATGCCCTGAAGTACACCATGTTGGGCTTGCATGCCGACTACTTCTCTGAGACTTTGCCAAGTCAGACAGAGCTACTGGAAAGGCAAATTGGCCACAAGAGCGCTTAGCACGTTGACGCCAACAAGCCGGAATTATTATTGGTTTGGAAGGCATGAAGTTTCGCTTTTCCAGCTCTTTCAATCTTTCTCAGCCTGTGCATTTTCCACGCTGATCTAAAAGTCATAGATGATCCACTAGCTGCTAGCAGATGAGAAATCACCTCCCTGTGGTTCTCTGCCTTCCTTGGGCGTGCTGTGACCTAGCAAGGAACACAATGCCCCATCGCTGGGAGATTCAGGGCCTGGAGGTCCCTTCTAAATTAGATCTGTCGTTGTTTGTGGAGCTAGGCCAATCCTAAAGGACAGTGCAGGGGCATCTGATCTCTTGGACAGGTTCATTCATTTGCCTTGTAGTTTCCTAATAGTAAATGAAAGCAGTCACAATGTTGTCTTATATGTCTTTATATGTCATTAATCATCTTCCAACAGGCAGGGAAAAATTTTTGATATTCCAAATCGCCTCCATATTATGCCACATTATGTATACAACAGTGGTGCTCTTTCAAAAATAATAGCATGGTAGATTTCTTATAGAATAGAATACCTTTACTGTCATTGCATTTCACGAATACAATGAAATTTGAAAGCTACTCCAGCACAGTGCCCCAAACACGACATCACAATCACACTACAGAGTATTTAAAAATTAAAATAATTATTATAATAATAACAGGACTAAATCACAAATGCACTGTTTGATTCAAGACAATTACTGCCTTGGAAAAGAAACTGTTTCTCAATCTATTAGTCCTCATTTTAAGACACCTATAGAAAGGAGGTTGTTCGATCAGCCTATTTTAGCCTTTAAAGAAGTCCATTAAAGTATACAGAGAAGACGTGTTAATCGTTTCCACCTTGCTTCCTTGCTAGTTAAAGAAGGGCTTATTTCAATGATGACTCTGTTCATGCTAAACTGTGATGGCCCTACCAGTGTTTGGTTGATAAAGCCAAAATTGGTTGGGTTACTACATTGTGCTATCCAAAACTTGTGACCTATAAACCAGAATGTGTTGCTTTGTACAAGCTTACAGCAAAGAAAGACAGATATATTTTGGCTTAGCTATGAACCCATTATTGTAAGCACTCCCAGTTGACCATACTTCATAGATTTCATTCAGCCTTTCTAGCCTGATGCCTTCCAGACATGTGGAGTAAAAAAGGGAAATCTCCCTTGAGTGAAATGCAATTTCTCCAAATGTAGAATGTTAAGCCAGCATAGCTGTTGGCCACATTTGTTCTTTCCCCCAGTGCAATGCCCACCATATGCCTTATAACTTCAGCTCTCTATATTTCAGTGAGAATTTTATATTTGTAGCTTCAACACATCTGAGCAGCACTAGGAGGAGAGAGAGAGAAAGGGAGGGAGGGAGGGAGGGGGAGAGAGAGAGAGGGAAAGAGAGAGAGAGAGAGAGACTGGCCTAGGATGTGAACAGAAACTACAGAAGCATAGAGAGCATGGCTCATAGAGAGAGTTAAATGGCTGGCAGTGAAGGATGAGGTATCTCTCCAAAGTAATCAAATTACACACAGTTCTGTTTTGAATACCTCACTTCACCACTGCTCCAATATGTCATTTATGTGGCTGTCTCACTTTGCACAATGGTGGAGAGACATATTTCTATCTCTCTATTTTGTTTACATCTCCTCCCTTCCTTCCTCCCTCCCTCCCTTCAGATCTGACATAGTTTAAACTCCTAAGTAGAAACAATCTTTGGCTACATTTGTTGAGAAATATTAGTAGAAGTCAAGTGTATTGCAGTAATGCAAAGCCAGACCTGAGAATCATGCGCCAGAAGCCCTAAATTCAACTTTTTCCCATTTAGCTACCTCCCATTACCCACCTTCGGGCAACCAAGGAGGTTCAGGCAAGATGTTTTCATAACGGACAATCCAGGCACAGTTTGGTATGCAGATGATATTCCAGGTAACCTTGTAGCAGCGTCTGGACGAGATACAGCATTTACTTTAGTTTCCCCCCAAGTCTTCCCTGTTATATTTCCCCTCTCCCCAGAGTCTATGCAGTCTGCCACTGAATAGAGCAAAACACAAGCAAGCATGAGGTGGCAGCTGATTTCCTTCCTTCCTCCCCCCGCCCCCCCAGTGTAAACATAAACAGCATACAGCTAAGTGTACATTCACCTCTGAAGAAACCCTGCCACACAAATCAAACCAGCCTAGATAAATGCCCCCCACAATTAACCAGAGCTGGAAGCTCAGTGGAGTGAGATAACTGTTAGTTCTTTACAGAGTGCAAGTAAGGGGCAAAATTAAACCCTCCTTTTAGGAGCCACATAAAACACTGGAGCCACATTAAAAAAAAAAGACTATGTCTCATACTTCACATATTTCTTGGGCAATGAGGAGAGATATTCTCAACAGACATTTTTGAGATGTTTTGACTGGACGAGCAGATTCCATTTTGGCAAGGTGGTGCCTGATGTATTCTGATGCTATATTTAACCCAATATTTCTATCCAATAACCAGAATTCTGCTGTAGTAGTAGTAGTAGTAGTAGTAGTAGTAGTAGTAGTAGTAGTAGTA